GCGGCCGGGGCGGCCGGTTGCTTCGCCGGAGCGGGAGGCAATGCCGGCGGCGGCGTCGCTGGAGCGGGGGGCAATGCCGGTGGTGGTGTCGCCGGAGCAGGAAATGGCGGCGGCGGAATCACCGCAGGAGGTTTGGCGGTTACGGGTGCGGGAGAGGTTGAAGATGGTGGTTTCGCTGCGGCGGCCGGGGGTGGGGCGGGTGGGGGGGGCGGGGGGGGGGGTTGCAGCCGGAGGTGTGGCGGCGGCAGTGGGAGGAAGAGGTTGCTTTGTTGGTGAAAAGGCGGGGGCTTGAGCTCTGGAAAAGAGTATGGGATTGATTGAGAGAATTAGGATGGAGAGGAAGAGTGTTGAATCCATTGTTTGGAGTTGTTGGATGGGGAAAATGGGAGAGTTAGGGTTTATAAAAGGAGATTGGAATGGTGGGAGTGAGATTGAAGAAGAAGGAAGGTGGTTAAGTTTGGTTGGGATTGGGGACATAGGTGATAGAATTGATTTTGGAACTACCGTTTGAATTAAATAAATAAATAAATAAATAATATAAATGTATGTAATTTTATGTATTAATATATGTAAGGTCCAAAATTTAAAATTTAAACTTGAAACATTTGTAAGTATGTATAGGGTGTAGTTTACATTTTAAAAAGTAGTGGTGATGATTTTTTTTATGTGATGTTAAAAATTTGTGGGATATGTATGTGAATTTGAATGTTTATGTGTTATTAGTGAAGATGGGGGAGAAACATCAAACCATTAGTAATATCTAATATGAGTAATAAAACGAGAAATTAATCGAAAACATGAAGGATGGTGAAGTAATTTACCCTTTATGTCACTATTCATTCTTTGGAACATGGTTTTGCCCCTTCATTCGGAAAACCAAAGTTTTGTAAATGAGATTTTATGAAACAGACCAAATGAAGGGCTTTAAGAAAAAAACTTTAATTGTTTTTCACAATGACAAGTGACTGAAAAGCAACCTCAAACACACGTTGACTCTCTTAAACTTGGTTTGATATCATCCCCAACGATGGATGTCAATCGAATACGCTAGTGTTGTATAGTGTTGGATTTCACGTATATTATTAGAATGAGAAGTTGATGACACCGACTATAAAATACTTCTAAGAAAAACATAATTTCTTTGAAATTACTCTCAAGAGGATAGTTATTACAAGAGCTATAAGTTGTATCGTTTACCTAAAATCTATTGGGGTGATTGTACTTTCTGGCATATATAGTTGTAAAACTATGGCAGAGAAAATAAATTTTTAGAAAACCAAGTGAGTCTTATATATATATATTTAAAAAAATATTAACTAATGGCCTTTTTACAACTATCATATTTTAATAGATCAAATTGAAAATTTTATTACTCTCCATCTCAAGGTTACATTTTAAAACATACATGGGGCATTTACATATATACCTCCCAATTTCTATGCATTTACATATCTAAGAACCTAAAAGTTTCATTTTACATTTTTTTTCACCCAAAATTTTCACATCACATAAAAACTCAGCCAACCATAGGCCATTAGAACCCAACCGACAAACTCAACATGTTAGGCCAAGATCGTACGATCATGAACAATATTATAAGTCGGCCGGCAACCCTAAGTCAGTATAATCGACCGAATAAGCCTCGTCGAACCAGGGCACTTCAGCCTTAGCCGACCAAGTGTTAGAGTAGCTGAGTCATGGACTTTTTTATGTTAAAATATTTAAAATACCCTATAACTCTCCCGTTAAACAAGTGCACACACATAACTATGTAATCTTTACCCTCCTCTTCTACAAATAGGGGGTTTCATTTCCACAGGAAGTGTTAATCTTCAATCAACAATCAATCAGTCGTTCTTCAATTCTACTATTCATTATTGTACACTCTATTACGTGGGTGTGATTCTTAGACAAATTCAAATTCAACAGAGACATATACGTATAGACTGAAGTTTCGGTGCTAGGAATAT